ATGACTGTTTAATAAAAATTATTTCTAATGCATCCAGACGTTTACAACATGTTCTTAATGGCAAAAGCAATCCAACAGGGCATTATCGATGATAATTATATTCAGTATACTCTGTTTAAAAATGTTGTCGTAAGTGTTCAAATATTTTTACAAATTGGATTATTCAAATGATGTAACTTATTTCTTGTTAATTAATGAATGCTCTTACAAAATACATCATTATTAATTGGATAATAAATTAGTTGATTTATCTAACTATGTCATCTAGGATACTTGAAAACCGTTTGTTTCATGATAAAATATTTTAAATAAAACCAATTAATAATAATTAGTATTATTATTATTTATTAATAATTATTAATAATAATAAATAATTATAATAAAAATGCCGTGCATTCTTGTCAACACGTGGTCAATCGCAGTATCTTAATTGTGATATATAAAATTTTAACTTGAAAAAGTATTTTTTATTATTTTTCGTCGATACAATTTATAAGCATAGACGAGCTGCCTTTGATAAAAGAGTTGATTTTTCCCTTAAAATAAATAATGGATACCATTAAACTACTGTTATATTCTCAGAGAGATCTAATGAACAATTATGCGAAGTTTCATCAAAATCAGTGTGTATCAGTTGTCAGAATTTTCTTGTGAATAAAGAAACTACTTTGAACGTTAAGTAAAAAACCTATTAAAATAAACGAGTACAAAGAACAATAATTACCGAGACATCCTCCGGTAAGTGGTAATAAATTTTCGTGGTAGTAAAATCTGTACGACATTTATTATCGTGAATGTCACATTACATACTCATTAAAATGATATAACACCAGAAATAATTAAATATGTATCATTTGCATTTATTAACTGACACCATTCATATTAAGTACAATATAAATAACATTTTAAGCATAGCTGTTATTAAACATTAAGCATAGGTGTTATTTAGAGAATATCTCCAAGTTTTAACAAAAACTACATTTTTTCGTGCCTAATTACAAGAGTAACTTTTTGATCCGTGTATTGCAGAATAAAAGACTTCAAGATTGTTAAAACTGAATGCGTTATGTTGTGACGACATTATAATGATTTGTATCTCGGTTAACTAGTTGCTTGTTAGTGAAGTTCAACATTTAGAAAATTCCATTCCTGCTCATAATTGTTACTTTCTTTCGTCACGGAATTTTCACGTCATCATCAAGCCGGAAGCCATTCGTCAGCGTTAAATATTCAAAAGGGGAGAGTCCTGCGGGAGAAACTTTACGCGACGTATTCGTATTTATAGACTGCATGATACTTATTATTTATTTATTCTATGCAGGATTACCATACAAACACGATTTATGTTCCGTCACGTTGAAGAAGGAGGGAGAGCAAGTGAATATTTAAGCCCTTTCGACCGGCCGAATGATAATTGCAATTCGGCGGATAATCGTAATTTCTTGCAATAGAAGAGATTATAGTACTGTAAGAAATGCTCACATTCACTGAGAACTTAGGATCACGGGAATTTGCTATATGGATTAAATAAGTAAAGATAATGTTCGTACGTGGATGATGCGATACTTTGTTCAATAATACGGCTTTTGAAAATTCTTGTCAATAGCTCTTCTAAAGATATTAAGATATAATATCTTCTAAAGATATTAAAAGCAACTAATGATACTAATAATTGATGGGATTAGATTCTTTTAGGATTCGATATAATGTGGGAAGAAATAGATAATTCAATTGGATAAAAGTAGTTTTCTATTCTTATACGGAGTATTAGATTTGAAACATATTTAGCTATAAGGTGAAGTGGGGTAAGTGCAGACTGGTTTTTGTAAAGTTGGTATTTAAACGTAAGTATTTTCAGTCTGCTATGTAAATATTTAACGCTGTCGATATCGAACGCTTTGCACAATTACTACTATTTAATTAATATTAACTAGGACCTTAATTTTCCTTGTACATTTTGATTTTGATAGGAAATTGTTTAAAATGTCAACTACTCTGCACTTTCTCCGAAAAAAGGGTAAGAGCGTAACTTGAAGTTAAATACTTTGAAACTTTATTTCATGTGCAATGGGGTAAGAAGCAGAATTATTAACAAATCTGCTATAAAATTCTTTTTATTGCATTATGTAAGTACTCTATACTGCAAACGAGTACTCTTAGCTGAAATATAAAAGAGGATATAGTGAAACAAAACAAGGAAACAAACATACTAAATGGAGAAATTTCGCTCATATTGTAATAAAAATAGCCTGTATACGCACTTTCCCCGTTTACGAACTTACCCCACTTTACCTTATGTACCTTTACGCAAAGTATCGTGATTTTTAAGATATTGGCTTATTACCGGACATTTCTGAAGTAAATGATAGTAGATAGTTTGTTATGATTATTATAAATTCCAACTTTGCTTATTTTCAGAACGTGTTTTATCTAAATTACATAATACAATTTTTCTATATGTGATTATAAATATTTGGTAAGCGAATGAAGCTGCATACCGTGACTTGTATTTAAAGTAAATTTTCAATCGCTCTTTTTTCAAAAACAGCTAGTTCCTATCAAATTAAAATGTTTGTAAAAACTTGTTCGTTTATAAGCACATGAAAGTGTTTATATTATTTTACATAAATTAGTATTACTTTCGTAAAAATGCAAATCTTCAACACCGAATCTACCGTAAATAAAAATATTTATCTCTTTAAAGATCAATGTAGATTTCAGGGGAAACAGTTTGATAAATTTTATAATTTCAAATAAGAATCGTGTGAATCAATTACTATACTGGCTGGTCTAATTTTAGTGTTGAAAAACAGAAGAATTATTCAGACCCTATAAATTAAAAATTTATAATGGTGAACAAAAGAAATATGACTATGGAATTTACATACTCTGTACCAACATATAATACTTCGAAGTTAATAATAAAATAGAAAAATAAATAAAAAAAATCATAAAGCATAGTGGAATGTGCACATTAGTTATTTATCTCCTTAAAAATCAATACACATTTCAAAAAAAAACGTCCTAGCAAATTTTGTAAATTAAAATAAACGTGTCAACCGGTCATTTGACTTAGTTTTACAAATTTATAAATGTTATCTAATATTTCAAAAGTTTCTAGTAATCCCAATACTTCTGAATAATTAGACTCCTTCGAAAAATCTATTTAACAAGTGGTTTTGCCTTTAAAGAAATAATGTCGATTACATCGTAGAACATAATATAGCACAATTGAGAACGTTTAACAAAACTAATATGTTAAGGTAAGCGTCTATAATATTTATTATCTGATGTTGAATGAGAAATTAAAATATTTCTTCAAAATTATTAAAAACAATTTTAATAGTAAAATTAACTGTTTAAGTACATTATTTTCAAAACATTAATTTACTATTTCTTTATTAATAAAGAAATTAAACTATATTGAAATATTGTAAACCTCATTACATATTGAAATAATAAACGTACGAATGTACATATGTATATGTATATTATAAACTAATTTTGAAAAATGTATTATTAATTACCTCCATCACTCACAATACATCAATAGTTAGTTATAAATTCATTATAAGCATTCTAAAAATCGATTGACCTCCACATGCTAAAAGCGTCGAATTTAAAGTGATTTTTCATACGTTGCATAAAAAGAGATTAATGTATTAATTTATTTTCAAAAATGAGTAAAAGTGAACACAATGCACGACAAAGTATAATATAGGTAAAATATAAACTACACGTTAATGTGTAAAATAAAGATAATAGTGCAATTACTATCGATTGTTGTTGATCGGGAAATCATAATTAAAAAGAAAATGTCGAACTAGATAGTCTTAAAATAAATTGAGTTTTGATTTTAATCTGTATAAATATTATTTTGATGAAACTTGCATTTTTGTCATGATATACTTGTAAACATTAAATAAAATTTATAAGCATCTTAACAAATATGATACGTAATATTTTATAACTAATTTAACTTTAAAATGTTAAGACCTTGTCAAGTAATAATTTATATAATCAGTTCTAAATCATTTAAATTATTTATTTTTTTTAATAACAGACTTTGACAAACACTATAATGTATACCATTAACATTTAAAAGTAATTATCACTTTAAAAAGTAATTATTTAAAAATTATTACAGTTTTTTTGATCCGTAACTGAAAAAAAACATGGTAAGCAAAAAAGAAGAACACGAAATAATCAGATTAAAAAGATATTTTACAAACATAAATTAATTTATATTTTTCCTTTACTTTAAGTTTTCAGTAAGTACAATAATAATAATTAAGTTACAATTTAATATTTAAGATAAAAACTACAAAGGTAGTATTTTTGGTCATATAAATCATTCAGGAAGTACTTTGTGATCAGATCAGAATCCAATTCTTGAACAAATAAATGTCCTTTTCATCATATAAATCCATATTTACTTAATTTATTAAATAAGTGAATAATTAATCGAGTTGAAATCAGACATTCCACGCCTAATTAATCATTTTTCGATCTCGATGTCAGGAAATATGTTCAATATGAAATATGATGTGCGCGTTGAATTAAAAGGATTTAATTAAGTCATTATTCTACTGATTTCAGAATTATTGCTTTCAATGTCTTTTAAAGCAGCGTTGAACATTATTCAAATAAAACTTTATTTATATACGAATAACAATAAATTGACAATCGTTTATTTATTTATTTTTCGTTTGAATAATTCTTTGTTACAATTATTTATTATTTACGTAAAAATGATTTGAATACAGTATCCGTTATTTCTTATTTCTAAATCGCGTTTTCTCTGCTATAAGAAAACATTATTTATGTTATTTAAGTTGGGATATTCATTTTACTTCAAATATTGCAATTTCCATTTGCAAATCGTGTTTTAAATATATACATTATAGATTTTCTATAATTTTATATTATATTTATTCTTCAAAATTTGTGTAATTAAGTATTTGAAGATTTGAAGTTTGAGTTTTTAAGCACTTAAAAGTATGGAGTGTGAGTACTTAATATTTCAGTATTTGATATTTATGTATCTAACTTTTTCAGGATTTAAAATTTGAATGTTTAAGCTGAATTATACCATAATATATTCACCTAAAAGTAATTTCGACCTTAATCGGTCAAACTTCCATCCCTCAAATATTAGTAAATTTAAATTATTTCCAGTATAACTTGCTTACAGCCAAAAAGCATATTAAGTTTTATCTTTTGTTTTCAATATCTTAATTTTTTTCAAAAATAAACTTGTCCCACATTCAAAATAAATGGCCCCATTTTTATAAGTTGTTGAATACGTACGTTCACTCATTACTGGTTAGTAATGTGTTTTTCTATAGTTATGAAAGTTGTCCGTAAAGATTGGGATCATATTAATAGCAAGTGAGGGTGGGAAATGGTGCACGTGTAAGCAAGAATCGTTCAACTGACAAACACATTATAGCTAATATTAGCTAACATAAATTAAAATATGTTAATTAATTTACTTCAAGAATGCAGATGAAAATACCCTGACATCATACATTTTTATATAACAACCTGCAATTTGTCAAAACATTAAATTAGTGGGAGTCATCTTATTATCGAGCACTTTAGGTTTTCTTTAAATGAATAAGAAAATATGATATTTTAATTTTTTTATTTTACATTATAAATACAAATTAATACTAAGGTGAAGTGGGATAAGTTCGTAAACGGGGCAAGTGCGTATACAAGCTATTTTTATTACAATATGAGCGAAATTTCTCAATTTAGTATGTTTGTTTCCTTGTTTTATTTCACTATATCTCCTTTTATATTTCAGCTAAGAGTACCTGTTTGCAGTATGGAGTACTTGCATAATGCAGTAAAAAGCATTTTATAGCAGATTTGTTAATTAATTCTGCTCTTGCCTCATTGCACATGAAATAAAGTTTCAAAGTATTTAACTTCAAGTTACGCTCTTACTCCATTTTCGGGGAAAGTGCAGAGTAGATGACATTTTAAACAATTTCCTATCAAAATCAAAATGTACAAAGAAAATTAAGGTCCTAGTTAATATTAATTAAATAGTAGTAATTGTGCAAATCGTTCGATATCGACAGCGTTGAGTATTTACGTCGCAGACTGAAAATACTTACGTTTAAATACCAACTGTACAAAAACCAGTCTGCACTTACCCCACTTCACCTTATTCGAATCTAAAATAACCAAGCTGAACAACAATATCATGATATACATGATTTGTACATTAAAATAACTTTAAGCTTTAATTTACATTTTTGAAGGAAAATTATATGACACCTATTATTACCGAAAACTGCAAGAATTATTGACATAATCTAGAACAGCTTTAATATAATTTACAATAATCACATTTATAACCGACAGAACGTTCGGAGATATGAACGCAAAGCTCCTGTGCCCATTCTTGGCATTTTGAAGATTAAATTCAGTCTTCATTGCTTTTCAAACAAGCTATCCTAATTTCTCTTATTGCTGACGTTCGTACTATTTTCAATTTTTTTTTTCTTTATTCTTCGTGTTGCTTAGATGGCTTATTTAACCACTGAAAGCTTGATGGTAAAAAGCGAGAGAAATTATGGCACACAAAGTTTAGATACACAGGGTTATACAGAACTGGTTACTGCTCTTTTTTAAGCAAAGGCGGAAGAAAATGATAGAAGAAGAAATCATAAGATATACGTTCTTTCTATGACCTTACTTTTTAGATGAGTGCATCAAACTTTTTGTTAAACCAATCGATCACTTTTATTCTGCTTATAAAAGTATTAACCTTCATCGAAATAGAAATATTTCACAAGATATTTACAATTTTGTGTCAGAAACGTAGTTTGTTACAATAAATGTTCAAATGTTCCATCATTTTCTAATGGGTTTATTTACATTTTTCACATGTAAATTACATGTTTTACACTCTATCGCATTAGGTTCCTGATTTTATGACATCTTTGTTCAGTTTAAAAATGAACCATATACTCACAAGTTGTTTTCTGATTTATAGAATTTTTTTTAATTCTGAATTTCCAGCTTATGCAATTTTCCAATTCTAAATTTCCAAATTTTCAAACTATCAAATTTCTGAATAACTGAAAAATGGTTAATATATATAATATGTATATATTTAGGAACATTTAAAAATTCGTTAGAGAAAAGAAGAACATTAAATTCCAAAGATATAATTAGTGAAATTCATAAAATTGTTTGCATTTATTTTATGACTCATTATTCCTCTTTTTCATTTCTATACATACCTCACTTGTCACAGATAATATCAAGTCTTACCTTTTAAACGCTGCGTCCATTATAATTAAAAACATTCTGTATTCTCGGCTTAAAACAGCAGAGAATATAAAACTTTCATAAAATTTTTAGTTAAAACAACGTAAACTTTCATCAAATATTCACAAATCAAAATCTGCCAGCGATTTTTAAATTATAAACTATTTTACTCAAAAATTATTCGCTAGAATTCCATGACACGATAAAAGTTCTCAAGTAATTTATAATTGTGTTCACAATCTAAGATACTAACATCTCTAGCAAATAAAGTGAATGAGACAAGAGGTTAATGCTCCAAAAGCAAACTGATAAGTAACTCACATCCGGAAGTCATTTACACCTTCGGCTACATGAATCATTAGTCGTAAACATCGCTAGAGCCTTATCTTCTGATATCTTACAATTTGATCACGATTGTCGTAACTAAAGCTTTGCTTAAACTTTCCAATGATCCGAAAACACATATAGCAATACTGTTTAATCGTTTGATTTGATTACAGCCTTCATCGAGGAAGGTTATCATAGTACAAATCCTTACCACAACAGTATACACGCCACGGATGTGACTCAGGCAATGCATTGCTTCCTCCAAGAAGAAAAGGTAAGTACTCATTGATTCATTTAATAAATATCTAACAATTTTGTTACTGACAACGTATACAGTGCTAGCCAAAATTCTCAACCGCGTATATTTTATTTAACCAGTTAAGTGTGTTTGATGACTATACCCGTCATGGAGATGTGGCAGAATTTTGAGTTATGACGACTATATCCGTCATGCGTAAAATTTTGTTACAATTTGATATTTAAATTGTAATTTTGGCGAAAATTAAATTATATTCTTAAATTGTAATATGTTTAAAATGTTTAGAGGTCAACACGAAATGAAATAAACAAATAAAAAGTGTAAATGATTTGAGATGGATTCATATATTCTTGAGAGCTAATCATCATCGCTTGATTATCGCGACACATACTGCGCGCTTTGCAAAAAGATCGCCACAGTTAACTGGTTAAAAATACATATTTTTTAAATAGTAATATCGTTTACAGAAATAGTGTCCATATTTCTATACATATATTGCACACATATGTACATATGAAAGTTTTTAGGAAAAATAAATTGGCAAAAGTTTTTAGTTCGCGAATTAAATTATAAACTAAGATTATTTACAATGTAATTTGAACATATTTTTAAGTTCGATTATTTATCACAACTAATTTGTTAGTACTTTAAACTTGGACTAAAATGTAAGCCTTGCTCGAACACATTTTACCATATTTCAAGACATAGTTCTCGGTCTTTGATTAAATCGCGTATCGATTTTCCCTGATTCATCACAAAAGGATCTCATTAAATGGACTTCATTGTAATATTTCTTATTATGCAGCTTTTGTTCCAGTTTTCTTCTTCCATACTTTATAGGATTTAATTTAAGTAATTTCAGTGGCCATTACTGATCGCAGATTTTATCCGTGACCAACCAGACCTTAAAAAGATTTAATGAATATTTAAGATCGTTGTCAGCATAAAATATCTAATTTGAAAACGTAGCTTATTCATGATAACGAAACTTATTCTAATATGTTCTAGTATTAAATATTTCCTATTCTATCATCGATTTCTGTCGGTGGACCAACTTCACAAACACGAAACGTACTGTACACTATTAAACCACCACCATATTTCATCGATAGTATTTGATACTTGGTATTATTTCTACCGCTTCATGATCTACGTATATTTTTTACAGGACAAATGACACGAACCTTGATTTATCAAAAAATAGTTTTAATTAATTAATAAGTATGTAAGTACTGTTCCTTGCTGAACAAGAAGAGGGCTACAACGACGTCGCCATAAAATTCAATATCATATAATTATTATTCTGCCGTTGTTCCACTGATATTAGAAATATGTATACCGCTGCTTAATATTAACCCCTTCCCGTGCTATTTATTTAACAGATGCTTTAGTCAAGACTAACTATTCAGGGCTATAACATTAAAACAAACAAAGAAAATTAAAATGTTGTAACTATTTTATATTCGAGGATCCTTGATAATGTAACTTATAACTGGACCAAAATTTCAAATTGAAGAGTATTCAAAATTTGAGTAAGGTTTGTCACATTTGAGTTGTAAGTGCGTCACGAGTGAGACTCGTCAAAATACAGGAAGGGGTTAATAGTAGCTCAACTCACAAAATTTCAAACTTGCTTCTATCAAATATGTCTCCTCTATGTTCCCATTTTTATCGTGTAAAACGGCAAACTTAATAATTGTATAATATAATAATTAATAAACATTTAGTATTTTGAAAACTTTTAATATCAACCTTTTATTTTAATAATACCATTGAACGTAAGAAATGTCTTTTGTAGGAGGCCACTTTTTTTTAACATCAATTAAACTTTGTTAACTCTGTATTTTTGCAATTATAGCGTTAAAACTTCATTTGTTAACAATTAGTATTGCAACAATTCTTTAACGCTTTATTTATTAAATTTCTTAAAAATTTTTAAAATTTGTGCTATCTTTCTTAAATACTTTATTTAGGTGCAAGTAAACATACTATAGCACAGTTTTCATTATAAGTCATCCCTAAGGTCATTACATATAAAATAATTTGGGACATCGAAGTCCTGACTGAACCCTATGGAAGTACTATTTTTTTGGAATAATATTTTATTATGTGGTAATATTTGAAATTTTAATGGTAATTGCAAAAATATGAAATGGTATTCTGTGTACAATCTAAGGGATATAAAATGGATATAAAATAGTAAATATTTATTCAGTTATTTATTACATTATCTTATATTCAGAAAGCAAATCACGTCTATCGCTACTATTTCTTATATTATAAAAGAGAGAAACAATTTTTTTCATTTACACAAAGGGACGTATTACATTCTGAACCCTTTGAATGCGGTTTTGACTTAACTTTCCTAAAAACACACATTTCATTCACAACTATGGACTCATAAAGTACATAGCACATCAAATTTTACGTTATATTTAATTAAAAATAATAACTAAAAATTATAACTTGCCAAAGTGCAAAACAAATAGGTATTTTCTAAATGCGAACACATGGACGACTTTACTACATCGTCTTATGTAACACGTCACTCAATAAGTCCCCGGTCTGACACATATATGGCGACACTGGTGACAGACCCACGTTATTTTCGAATAATACTAACCTTCAAACAATACGTGTCAAAATTTCATGGTATTCTGACCAATAGTTTAGAAGTTACAATCATTTTAGTACCCCCAGTTTCGTAATTTTGAAGACAATGGATAGAAAGGAATTTCGTGTGTTGATTAAACACTGTTTTTTAATCGAAAAAAATACTGTTGAAGCCAAAAAGTGACTTGATAAGCATTATAGGGACTCTGCACCAGGGAAATCAACTATCATTGACTGGTATGCTGAATTTGAACGCGGTCATACAAGCACCGATGATGCTGAACGCTCTGGTTGCCCAAAATCAGCAGTCGTTCCGGAAAACATAAAAAATGTCCACAAAATAGTTTTAAAGGGCCGTAAACTTAAGTTGTGTGAGATAGCTGATGCCTTGAAGATATCAGAAGGTAGTGTCTTCACAATTTTGCATGAAAATTTGGGCATGTGCAAATTGCTTTCAAAGTGGGTGCCGCGTTTGCTGTTTCACGAAGGCAATGCGCCGTGTCACAAGTCGATGAACACGATGGTTTAATTGAATGAATTACATTTTGAATTGTTTCCCCACACACCGTACTCCCCAGATTTTGACCCCAGTGACTACTGGCTCTTTGCAGATATGAAAAAATGCTCCAGGGAAAGAAAATTTGGCTCAAATGAAGAAGTGACTGCGGAAACTAAAGCTTATTTTGGGGGCAAAGACAAATCGTTTCATATAAAGGTAATTGAAAAGTTAGAGGAGCGTTGGAATCAATGTATCACACTGGAAGGAATGTATATTGATGATTATAGTGGAATTTCTAAAAAAAAATTTGTTTTGCTTAGTTAGACCGGAGACTTATTGAGTGACGTGTTATTTAAACTTTATAATATAAGGAGATAATAGAAAATATAATTAATGCAGACTTAATATGAAAGAAAAACTATCTAAGCTACTAACGCACATCTTCGCTCTCTAACGGTCGCAATAGAAGTGGAAGGAACGATAGAAAAGTACAGCTAAAAATCGGCACGCGTCGAACTTATGAACCTTACTGGAAGGAAAATATATTGATGATTAAAGTGGAATTTCTAAAAAAAATTTGTTTTTCTTCGTTAGACCGGAGACTTATTGAGTGATGTGTTACATACATTTGTCTCTAGTAAGACTAAATTGTTTCGAAGTGAAATAAGCTTGTGTAGCCATCCAACAATTAAAGAGCGAACTTCATAGAAATGGACTTTAAAGTCCTAGTGGTTCTTAAAGGTTTTACCATGAGAAATCTTACAGAAAACTGCAGACCTGAACAGAAGTCTCGAAAGTAAATAAAGTTAAACGTTTTTCCGTCACTTCGCATGAAAATAAATTTTTTAAATTGAGAACAAAAGATATTATAACAATAGCCCAATTCTCCTGCGTGAAACAAAAGAAAGTGTAACTCAGTTGAACAAAAATTTCGGAGATTAAACTCCTACGCGCATTCAGTTTTTACGGAAATAAATAAAAATTGCACATATTAAACGCTGGTATCTTTTAAATGAATTTTAAATCAGCAAAATGGTGGCTTAATCTCTGCTTAATTGCGAATGCGTTATAATATGTGCGCAGAATTCCTAATATAGATGTCAAAACATTATCGATTTAACGTGAATTCACCCTTGTACGTATAAAAGAATGATTTTTTCTAAAGTTGTTCTCGTTAAAACTATTTATTATACTGAGCGCCTCATTTTATGTATCTTGCTGACAAATGGTTTCTGCAATATTGAAGATCATCAACAATTTTTTAGTTAAAGAATTCTTCCTCTTTTCACGTTTTTTAAAAAATCTACCTCTAAATCGAATTTTAAAGAATTTTTTAAATTATTAGCATATTTCTTAAAATTTTGAATATGAAATATCTAAATGAAAATATCGTGCATTATTGACGTCGCAATAAATTTAAACGTAGCAATAGGGCCCGTGTCAGGTACGTGGTCCCTACGATCTATTATTATGATCGACTGACGAAAGTAAGAAGGTACTAATAAAAACCCCTAATAAATTTAATGTAAATGTCAAAAGCAAAAGAATTTTGTTATTCTTGCTCATTTTTAACGTTTAAACTAATCAAAATGTAATAGCAAATGTTGCTAACATTACATAGATGTACTTATAAGTTAATATAACTCAATATTTACATCGTGCGAAAGTATTATTCGATACTCTAAGATTCAACGTTTTTAACCCTGGATTTACGGATGTTTAATGACGACTTATATTTAAATTGAAACTAAACTGTAGAAATAAATAAATAACGGATTATACGTAAACTAGCTTATACGATGATGCGACAAAAGTTAATACGTATACATTTTAGCAAGGCTTCTTAGTAATTTTCATAATTTAAAATAAGAAATGTAAGATAATTTCTATGGGTTGCATTTTA